TTTTTCTCTTTCCTCTCTTCGATTACTTTTGTCTTTTTAAGTCTGTTTTGTGCTTTAGTTTAAATTTACAGGTATTTTCGTCTGTGAATAGGCGATGGGCTCAAGATGGCAAATCCAGGAAGATCATTTTGATGATGACGATGATGGAGACTGGGAAGATAATAACGCCGAAAAGCTATCGAGCTATGAAGATGACGATTATGTTGAAAATTATGAAATCGAAGGTTTTTTCTCAAAAAATTTGCCAAAAACTTAAAATTTCCATCATATTTCACTCTCTTGTTGAGGAACAGAACTATTAGAAAGTAGCCTGAGTATTAGCATGTGCCAATAACAAAATTATCCCCTGGCAGGCATCTTGATGGCTCTCTGTTTCATGGGTTTATTAGAAGCAAGCCGCTGGTGGCTTCCAGTCCTTTACATATGCCAGTACCAATTTACCATCGAATTGAATAAGTAGCAACGCGCATCAGACTAACCGGCGCAATCATGCGTTTTGTGCAATTCAGCTCATCAAACGATTGCCTATTAATGATTTTCACTGCTTTGTACTTTAGTCTATGCAAAAATAGTTCAAACATTAGAAAACAGTTAAAAATTTCACGCACCAGTGCATGAAAGCTGAATTTGAAATCTTAAAGGGTGAATATCTTTCTGTGATTCCCGAGTTGATAGTTTACTCGCCAAAATTTTCACGAGGCTGTAGGTGATACTCAAGAGCGCGGGAACGCTGAATTTGAATAGGCGAGGTTGAGCGTGACAACGGGTCATTGCTTTAAAATTTCAGCCTCCTAAACTCCGTGATTCCTGAGATATTAATTTACCCGTAAAAAACTTTCACGGGTCCATACGTGTTACCCGCAAGTACAGGGAAGCTGAATTTAAATTTGCGAGGTCACACGTAGGTGGGGAACGTTCCCCTAAATTTTCAGCTTCCTGACTTTTGTGGTTCACGAGTTGAAAGATGCGGACAAGTTGCTGCGGACACACACACACACACACACACACACACACACACA